CATAAACATTATGCAATCACTTAATCTTCCTGAGTCTGAACTCATACTTCAACATGAAATTTACTTCACTCCCAACTAGAACACATGAAAAGATTCTTCACACACTCATAACTCGGGGTTATACCTCAAATCGAGATGAAAATCAAGTACCTAATAGTTCTTCTATCCTCCAACAGACCCTTCTTGCCGCTTCCAAATCATATGGATACATCTCGCAGCCATAACATACTCATTATATAGCCATTCAGCCATCACTTCTACCAATAGGGCACTACCGAACGTATAAGTTCAAAAACACTTGCTCACACAATCAACACCTTGGTGCTCAAGCTATAGGCAAATATCCGGCCTCAAGTCCTCTAGACTAGCCCAACATCAACATCAACACACAGAGATCATATCTCGCCCCTCGATCAGGGAACCACAAGCCATCGATGCATATCTAATACTAAGCGCTCGTATGCGTATACAAACACGTGGAGGGAATTCAAAGAGTTACATCTCAAGCTGAATCAAGGACGCACGATAATAATTCAAGAAGGTGAAGTTTTTCCAAAAGGTTCTGCAGCCTCCCGAGGATAAGTACAGACATTTCCGTACCGATCCGCGAGACTCTACTAAATCGACTTATGACTCGCGAGACCTATATAACCTAGGCTCCGATACCAACTTATCACGACCCCAAATACCCGATCGTGATGGCGCCTATCACATTACTAGGCAAGCCAACCCAAACCATTAACTACAACAAATTCCTTTTATAAAATCATTTTTCTAACATAGGTTTAAATACCAAATTTCCATAATAATTGTTTAAAAATAACAAAATATAAGCGGAAGTCAAATAAACATGAACTACACAGCCCTAAATATCTAGTGTCACGAGTCTAGAGCCTCTACTACATAACTGACTGTCTGATACAACAAAAGTCTAGAAAAATGCGGAAAAGAACAAGATAAGAAGGAGAAAACAGGGCTACGGACGCCATGCAGCTACCTTGAAATCTCCGGCAACCTCTAGATCAGCTGAGGACCCTCACTCAGCCACCCGGGCACCTGGATTTGCACACAAGGTGCAGGGAGTAATATGAGTACGCCAACTCAGTAAGTAACTAGAGTAAATAAGGTTTGAAAGCAGTGACGAGGAATTAAAAATCATATAACGGAATAAACAACAGGATAACAAATCCATTTCACAGTTTAAAACCAGTTTCATCGTAAAATTATCAACTTCAGTTTAAACACTTGAAATCATATACTTAGCAATTTTTCCAACAGAGGCTATTTTTAAAAGAAGAGTGAAATCAATAAAAATATCATAGCTGGCCCCCTCGGGCAAGGTATCACTTAGAACATGGCCTCTCGGGCAGCCTCTCAGTCACTCGTGACTCACTCTCATCACTCAGTACTCAATATCAGCACTCAGGCTCATTAATATATCATAATAATAGCAATCATAGTAACCGCTGCGGCATGAAGCCCGATCCGTAATTTATAGTCGACTACGCTCACTGGGGGTGTATAGACTCCGGAGAAGCTCCTACAACCCAAGCGTCATATCGCTGCGGCGCACAGTTCGATCCAATACATATATCGCTGCGGTGTGCATCCCGATCCAATATATATATATCGCTGCGGCATACAGCCCGATCCAATATATATATCGTTGTGGCGTGCAACCCGATCCATATAAGTATCGTTGCGACGTGTATCCCGATCCATAATATATACAAACAATATCCTCACTATTAGGTTCTCAACCTCTCTTAGTCATTAACCTCACAGCCTCTCGGGCACAACAATAGAAATTAGGGAACTCAGCCCAAACAACCCTCACAATTAGAAGTGGAGTGATAAAACTAGTTTTTAAACATTTAAACAGGTAAAACATGACTGAGGATATGCTTTCAACAAGTAAAGTGAAGAGAAACAGTAAAAATGCCCTAATGGTTTCAGCAGGTCGGTAAAAGGCCCCAAACAAGGCATACAACTCATAATACAGTATAAATGACTAAAGTATGGAATAGTATAAGATTCAAAATCAAATACGCGGCTTAATAGTCGCTACGGGACGGACCAAGTCACAATCCCTACCGGTGCACGCCTACACGCCCGCTACCTAGTTTATTAAAACAAGTCAAATACCGGGGTTTTGTACCCTCAGTTCCAGATTTACAATGGTTACTTACCTCAAATCGGTGAAGATACTACTCTGCGATGCCTTTGTCCCTTGAATCGGCCTCCACTCGTGTCGAATCTATCTAAAATTAGAATCATAGCGTCAAAATATGCTAAGGGAACGAAGCCCAAACGAAAATAATCAAATTATACCAAAAATCCCGAAATTGGCCAAATCGACCCCCGGGCCCACATCTCGAAACTCGATAAAAATAACATCAACGGAATCCTTATCCTCCCACGAGTCCATACATACCAAGAACACTAAAATCGGAGTCCAAATGACCCTCAAATTCTCATTTTAAAGTCTCTTAATCTCAAGCCCTAATTCCTCCATTTTAGGCTTAGATTCTATGATTTATTAGGTAGATTTCATAATAGAATCGAGTTTTAAAGTCCAAAATTCTTACCTCCAAGTGATTTCCCTTGAATCCCTCTTCAATCTCCTTCAAATAGATCCAAAAATGACCAATAATGGAAGAAATAAACTGCACATTCGCGAACAAGACGACCTTTTAAATCTTCTGCCCAGGCCTGAAATCCTTCTTCGCGAACGCGGTCAAAGCCTCGCGTTCGCGAAGCACAAATTAACTTTAACCAATTTTCCACTTTCACGATCGTAACCTGCCCATCGTGAATGCGATGCTTTGCTCAGACTTACCTTCACGATCACGTTTTGCCTCTCGCGAATGCGATGAATAAAATCCATAGAAGCCCAGCTGCCCTTTTTGCTCTATGCGAACGCGACATCTCCACCGCGAACGCGATGCACAAATCCTTAGCCCTTCGCGAACGCATAGCATTCCTCGCAAACGCGAAGGATAAAATTCTACCTTCCTCAACTGACTCTTGGCGAACGCGAGTGTCCTCTCGCGAATACGAAGAGTAAAATACCTGCAACAGCTGAAACCAAAATCTGAAATTTTGTTCAACTCAAAATGATCCGTTCAACCCTCCGAAATTCACCCGTGGCCCCTGGGACCTCAACCAAAGGCACCAACATATCCCAAAACCTTATTCAAACTTGTACCAATCTTCAAAATACCTTAAACAGCATCAAATCAACCAAAATACATCGGATTCAAGCCTAAGTTTCCAAAATCTTCCGAATTCCACTTTTGATAAAAAACCCAACCAAACCACGTCTGAGTTACCTGAAATTTTGCACACACGTCCCAAATGACACAACGGACTACTGCAACTCTTGGAATTCCATTCCGTCCCCTATATCAAAATCTCACCTACCAACCGAAATTCGTCGAAAATCCAATTTCACCAATTCAAGCCTAAATCTACTCCGGACCTCCAAAACCCATTCCGATCACGCTCCTAAGTCCCAAATTACCCTTGAAGCTAACTGAACCATCAGAACTCCCATCAGAGCCCTTTAACACATAAGTCAACATCCTGTTGACTTTTCCAACTTAACCTTCCTCAAAAGAGACTGAGTGTCTCAAGCCTTACCAAAATTATTCCGGATTCGATCCGACTAACCCGATACCACATCACACGGATAAACAAATCATAAAGAAGCAGGAATGGGGAAAATGGAGCAGTAACTCATGAGACGACTGGTCGGGTTGTCACAGATAGAAACCAATCGATCGCAAATGGGATTAGAAAAGTTTTTTTGAAGCTCACCATAGTATCTGCCTCTATCACTTTGAGAAAAATTTAAAGCAAAGACATGCAAAAGCCACGGTAATAAATCTTTTTCAACGTGCAGCAAGGTCATACAAATGTGAAGATTTTAATCAGTTAATGTCCCAACTCAAAAGTGTTGACAAGAAAACATACAATTACATAATGGAAGAGCCTCCAGAGAGATGGGCTCGATCGTGGTTCCCACGACGACGTTATGATATGCAAACAACAAACATGGAAGAATCAATGAATTCCATTTTACTAAAAGGGAGAGAAATGCCTATTTTAAGAATGTTAGATTTCATCCAAGAAAAGTTGGGAGAGTGGTTTTACGAACGGAGAAAAAATGCAAATGAAACTTTTCACAGAGTATCAATATGGGCAGAAGAAGAGATGACTAAGAAGATGGACTTGACTTGCAAAATATTTGTGAGTATAATTATTAACTTCAGCTTTTTATATCTGTTGCAGTGATTTACTGCTTACATTTAAAAAACTTCATACTATTTCTTTTTGAAGCAACAATACACTAATATAGTTTATCTTAATTTTTTATTCCTTGTTAGGTGTTCAACCTTGATTCAATGTTGTTTAGAATTAGTGAAGGAATCGAATTTATTGTGGATTTAAAGAAGAGAACTTGTGACTGCCTGGAATTCTAACTTGATGAATTGCCCTGTCCACATGCAATTGCTGCTATTAATAAGAGATATTTGCAGAAATCTGACTACTGCTCAAATTGGTATTCAAAGGAAACATGGTTGAAAATATATGAAGGACATGTGAATACCGTGGGAGATCTAAAATCATGGGATATACCACAAAATGTACAATCTGAGATCACAAAACCTCCCGATGTAGAGATTTTACAAGGAAGAAGACAAAAGAAGAGGCATATCCCTGCGACTGAATCAGTACCATTGAAGTCTACCAAATGCAGTCGATGTAAACAAGTTGGGCATAACAGAACAACTTGCTTGTCTTCTCCAGCACCTCATCCATATTCCAAGAAACACACTGAAAAATACTCCAACCTTCAATAATCCTTGGTCTGAATTTAGACTTTCATTATTGTATGACATATTTGAAATGTGATTTTTTTCATAGGAATAAAAAAAGAAGCTCTTGGACTATTTTATATACTGCTAAAGTACAAATCACTCATTTTTGTTGCGCAGGCTTACAGGTTTGGTTGCATTTTAAAAAAGTACGCAATGACTTCAGCGAGAAAAAACTTCAGGTGACAGTACGTGAAATACATATCCTTAACAATCACACACACACACACACACATACACACACATATACGCGTACAACACAAAAAAAAACGCATGTACAAACAAAATCTTCAGCATCTATCGGCTGAAGTTATAGAAAATGAACTTAATAACTTCAGCACATTCTCTAATGGATATGCTGAAGTAAACAAAAAAGAACAGCATAAAAACATAAAAAAGGATTACAAAAACTAAACATAAAAACCAACTAATTGCATTAACTTCACCAAATACCAACAATAATAAGGATAATGCAACATAAAGCTAAGAAGAAAGAGGATGAGAATTACATTATTACAGAAAGAGATGAGGACAACACACAAAGTACAAACAATAACTTCAATGTCTCTGGGCTGAAGTTATACAAAATGAACCTAATAACTTCAGCATATTCTCTAATGAATATGCTGAAGTAAACAAAAAAGCAAATCATTAAAACATAAAAAAAGGATTACAAACACTAAGCATCATCACCATGATCATCATCATCATCACAGTATTCCTGAATTTCTCTAAATATCTCATCATCATCAGTATCGGAGATAACTATAGGGTACTCAGGCAAAAGACCACAGAGTCTAACAATATCATTCTTTAACTTGTTGAATTCACCACACAACTAACTTTATTCAATGATTACTCTGTCCATAAGAGAAAGAAGAGTCTTCAGGTTGTTTTGCAGCTTGGAATAGTCGTCCCCGATGGGAAACTTAAAACTATCAAACTGCTGCACAACCTTGTCAAACGAGGTTGACAAACCTCCACAACTATGTTCCAGGTTAAGCATGTTCTGGAATGATTCATTGGCAAAAAACTGTGGTATGATTCTCTCCCAATCAGCCTTTATTCGATCCCACAAAAGCATAAGATTAGACATCGGTTTGTTATTGTACCACTCACACTTCAAAGTCTCCCACTTCTGCATAATTTCATCCATATTAGGCTTCCTACTTCCGCTTGCACCAGACATTCTTTCTTTAACAAAAGCTAAAACACTAAGGATGAATATAAATTTAAAGAAATATGATGGAAGTCTATGAATTGCTATGAAATTTTCAAGTGAAGAGATTGTTAATATAGACAAAGAGTTCACCTAATTAATTTAATATCTATAAATATAAAAGTAACTTTTCAGGCGTTTTTACTATTTTACGTTTAGAGAAATTGAATGAAACAAGATAAGTAGGTGGTAAATGCAAAAAGAAATGTAACTTCAACCCTAATAAGCCCACAGTTTTTCCATAGTAAAAAAATAACTTCAGCCTGAAAAGTAACTTTTTGGATCATTTACTATATGGTCAAACAAATTTAAATGAAAGATGAAGTATGTGGCAAAAGACAAAAAGTAGCTAGTAAATGCAAAAAAATGTATCAAGTTAAAAAAATACCAAAACATGCTGAAGTTTTTGTCATAAGCTTTTTTAAAAACTTCAATCCAATGTGTTGAAGTTATTTAGTTCATTTATAAAAATTTCAGCACATCATAAGCTGAAGTTTTTCGTCGTGGATTCAATAGTTTTGTCGTAAAGCTTTTTCAAAAACTTCAGCCCAATGTGCTGAAGTTATTTAGTTCATTTCTAAAGACTTCAGCACTTGATAAGCTGAAGTTTTTGTCCCGGATTCAATAGTTTTTGTCGTAAAGCTTTTTAAAAAACTTCAGCCCAATGTGCTGAAGTTATTTAGTACATTTCTAAAAACTTCAGCACTTTATAAGCTGAAGTTTTTGTCTCGGATTCAATAGTTTTTCTTGTAAATTTTTTTCAAATAACTTACGCAGAAACTGCTGAAGTTATTTAGTGTATTTCTAAAAATTTCAGGTACTCTATAGTTTGGTGGACTCATATAAACTAACAAATTATTACACAGTAAATTAAAGTTTTATATCTCAAATCTTATTAGTTTACACACATTCAGAAAGATATAGAAAAACCTGAACACTAGAAAAGGAAAAAATTGTTGATGTCTAGCAAGCTAAATTAGGATATATAAAATTATCTAAATCAACATGATGAAGTTATTTAGTGTATTTCTAAAAACTTCAGAACATTATGAGCTAAAGTTTTTGTCCTACAGTTGACACTTTTGTTATGACTTTTAACCAAAACTGTAGCTTAAAAAGCAGAAGTTATTTACTTAAAATTCATGAAAAAAGACACAAACATATTTGAATCAATCCAAGTCAACTAAAAAAGCGAATAGAACCAAAATTTAAAAGACATCACATAATTCACACAAAATAATGTATATTCACAAAATCCAATTTTGTTTTCACTTACATCTTTGAAAAAAAAGAAAAAAATTAGTTCTTTGTTTACAAGTTATTCTCTATTCAAAAAAATCATAGATTGTCTTCATATTCTCCATAGTCATGTCCTAGTTGCTCTTCTTGGGTTTCTTAACCACATTCCATGAGTCCAAAGATTTGCAGCCAATTCTATGTTGAATACCAATGCATGCCTTTGGTTATAGAACTCTAAAATTCGCTTCCAACTGAACTTTACTACTATGATTTTTTTAGGAACTACCGTCTTCTTTCATAACAACTTTACTACTATGATTTCATGCTTATAGATGAGACCTAGACACTAGCAAATCTCAGTGTCAAATTTAAGAGATATGCCCATACTGAAGAGCTCCTAGCATAATAACTTTGCACTATATACACATCAACCTTCACTATATCTTCAACTGATTCACAGAAGTGACAATACGAGCCCCTTACTTTACCATGTTATACTGATGTGACGACCCGACCAGTCGTCTCATGAGTTACCGCTCCATTTTCCCCTATTTTAGCTTCTTTACGCTTCGTTATCCGTGTTTTTTGTGATTACGTTGATTAGTTCGAGTTCGGAGAGGATTTGGTAAGAAATGAGACACTTAGTTTCTTTTAAGAAGGCTTAAGTTGAAAAAGTCAACCAGATGTTGATTTATGTGTTAGAAGGCTCGGAAGTGAGTTCCGATAGTTCGGTTAGCTTCAGGAGGTGATTTGTGACTTAGGAGCGCAATCGGAATGAGTTTGGGAGTTGTAGAGAAGATTTAGGCTTAAATTGGCGAAGTTGATATTTTGGCGGTTCCGGTTGATAGGCGAGATTTTGATATAGGGGTCGGAATGGAATTCCGAGAGTGACAGTAGCTTCGTTGTGTCATTTGGGATGTGTGTGAAAATTTTTAGGTCATTCGGACGTGATTTGATAGACATTTTGATCGAAAGCATAATTTAAGAATTCTTGGAGTTCTTAGGCTTGAATCCTATGTTAAATTGGTGATTGATGCTATTGTGAGCGTTCTGAAGTTTTGAACAAGTTTGAACAATGTCATGAGATGTGTTGGTACAATTGGTTTGAAGTTCCGGGAGTTCCGGGTAGGTTCCGGGAAGTTTTAGGCCAAAATCATAGTTGTAGCAAGTCCAGAAGGGTTGCAGGCCTCGAAACCCACCCGCGCGGACCACACAAAAGAAAGTGCGGCCGCGGTATGTGCTGTGCGGACCATACAAAATGAAGTGCGGCCGCGGTGGTTTTGTGCGGACCGCGGTGCTTTTGCGCGGACCGCGGTGGTTCTGTGCGGACCGCGGAGGCTGAGATCTGAGGGGTACTCTATAAATACGAGGTTTTGAGTTTTATTTAATATTTTGACCTAGAGAGCTCGGATTTTAGCGATTATTTGAAGGTTTTTCAAGAAATTCATCGGGGTAAGTGATTCTAACTCAGATTTGGCTAGAGTACATGAATCTATCATTGAATTCATCATTTAATTCATGATTTGGGATGGAATTTGGGAAGAAAATTGTGAAACCTTTCAAAAATATAAAATGATGATTTGAAGGACCAANGAATCTATCATTGAATTCATCATTTAATTCATGATTTGGGATGGAATTTGGGAAGAAATTGTGAAACCTTTCAAAAATATAAAATGTTGATTTGAAGGAACAAATGATATCGGAGTTGGATAATTTTGGTATGGTTAGACTCGTGAGGGTATGAGGATTTTGAAAATGTAAATTTTACCCGATTCCGAGACGTGGGCCCTGGGCTCGGGTTTTGCTAATTTCGGTATTTTTGATATTTTTCGAATGTTTTCGCTTGGGCTTTGTTCCCTTAGCATATTGTGACGTATTCGTTCTGATTTTGGATAGATTCGACGTGCGTGGATGCCAATTCGAGGGGCAAAGGCGCCGCGAGCTAGAGAATTAGCCGGTTCGAGGTGAGTAATGGTTGTAAATGATGTCCTGAGGGTTTGAAACCCCAGATTTGCACATCATAGTGCTATATTGAGGTGAGGCACACGCTGGATGATGAACATGGGGTCTTTTACTACTGGGGATTGTGACTTGGTCCGTTCTGATTGATGATTTTACCGCGTATTTGACTAAAATTTATTTGTTGTCAGCATGATTTGGGCTGATTTCCATATTTGGGCTTTGTGCCAACTATTTGAACCCTTCGGAGATTTTTATCACTATTTCCTCACTGCTTTGACTTATTATTTGAACTCAGTCCTGTTGATGTCTACTGTTTTACAAACTCAACCATTATTACTCAGATTTGAAAACTTATATGATATTTCTAAATGATGCTTAGGGCTGAGAACTACTGTTTTACTAATGCCCGAGGGGCTTGTGATGATTTTCAGACTGTGTGAGGCCGAGTGCCATATATGAGGATATGTTGAGTGATGTGAGGCTGAGTGTCGAGTGATGTGAGGCCGAGTGCTGAGTGATGATGCCACGAGGTGGCTTGATATAGCGCTTGGGCCGTAAGGGGCCCCTCTGGAGTCTGCACACCCACAGTGAGTGCGGGTACCCATTATGATCTAAGAGTGAACCCGAGGGGCTGATACTGTTCTGCGTGATTGATACTGAGCCCGAGGGGCTGATACTGTACTAAGAGTGAGCCCGAGGGGTTGATACTGTTCTGGGGGATTGATACTGAGCCCGAAGGGCTGATACTGTACTGAGAGTGAGC